ATTATCATTATTAAAGGAATGAATAAACTTCTAAACAACCTAGCTTATTTTTTTTATTTTTATGCATTATGTGTTTCGATAACTATCTTATTGTTTCAAAATTTTAAGATGCTTTGTGTTTCTAATTACATATTTTTAAACAAACAAATATCCTAATTACAAGACAAAAAAAGCAAATAAATTGACCAACTGGAGATCACATCATTTACTCACAAAAAAGACGAAAAAATGAACGTTATTTCATTTCAGTAAGCAAATTTTTTTTAGTTTCGTTTCGTACAATCTAAGTAAAAAACGGTAATATCCAATAGTGTGAAGAGTAAAAAAAATATACATATATATAAACTGTTTATTTAGAAATTTTGTATTTTTGAACAAATACAGTAATATAATTTTTTAAATTAAGTAAATTAATATAGTCCGAAGGGTTGCTGCGAATTAGTCTGCAAATAGTAATCACCAAGGTTTCTGAAAAATCTCAATAAAATTATTGCTACTTTATAAAAAAAACTACCAACCTTGTTGGGATGCTAAGTTGTCCCATGACAGCCTTAGGATTATCTGCGCAACGTCCTTTCTTAAAGTCCTTATAATCCGAACAAAGTACTCCCTCAAAAACAGGCCCCCTACTGAAAGCCTCAGCCAAGTACAAATAGGCCTTGCTGTGGGCACAAGTACCCGCTAAGTCCAACCCACACCCAGGTTGCGACATCCCCCCATTGGGGTAATAATCAACATCCCCAATCGAGCTGGCAAAACCTAGCAAATTGCCATTGGTGTGTATAATTTGGACAAACTTCCCATCGGAGATATCCAACCGATTTTCGGGATGTTTGAGCGAGAAGAGAGGTCCCGCAGGATCAAGTCCTATGATATGGTTGACTTTTTCCTGGGTTGTAGCTCCAGCACTACCAACGACATGAGCCCCGAGACTGTGCCCAATCAAAACGAAGCTGGACCCGTCCAAACCGTAGGCATTTTGGATTTTTGTGATAAAATTACCGACAAATTCTCCAACTGGAACTACGGAGTTTTTGGCGGAAAGATAGAATTTGTTAGCGGGGCCGCTCCAGTCAATAATAAATAAATTTACATCGTGATGGGTGAAAATTGTTTGTCTGATGTGAGTGTTGACAGCGGAGTTGCGGTTATTGTTCCAGCCGTGGGCAACGAAAACTGTCAATTTTTTAGGGTCAAAATGGGACTTGGCAAGTCTATCCACATTTCCGTTTGTGATAATGTCAGGGTAGTCTTGATTTTGTCTCGTGTAGAGGTCATACTCGACGTCCGATTGGACTACTTTTAGTTGGACTTCTTCAGGATCGATGGCCATCAAGTCAATTTCTTCATATTGACCGTTTTGATTTTCAATATAAATGTACCTTTTGAATTCCGGGTTGTTTTCTTCGACTACGTAACGTCGAACTGGCTCCACTTGCGGAGAAGAATAAAATTATTCACTGATTTGGGCAAAAAATGCTTCAAAAAAATTATTACACTTACCAGGACCTGTGAGAGCAAAGGGGAATAAAACAAGAAGAGTTGTGAAGAGTTTCATCTTGACTGAATTTTTTGTCAAACTTTGAGTATCTTTATAATTTATATATATTATTGTTATCAGTCAAAATCTGATAAAAAATTGCTTATTGTAATTTAATTATCTAATTGTTTGTGACAATTTAATCTCAAAGGATTTAAAAAGAACGTTGTGACTTTTGCCATTGAACTCTCCCTGTGTCGAAATACCGAAATTTTAATCTATTTATTTTGCCATAAATGTGTTGTTTTGTAATTACGATGACAAAATAGCAAAATTTTTTTATTTGAGTGAAACAGTGGAATGCATTGTTCATGTTGTTGTTGTAATTAAATAAAATGAAATTTACATTTTGAAATATTTATTTGGATGAACCTTAATGCGGAAGCCAATAAAAATAGAGTTTCATTCAAAACGTGCCTAAAAAAGAATAGGTACTTGACGTTATCTTAAGTTTCCATAGATCGTGTAAACAAATGTATATTTTCTTTAAACAAAGCTAGATTAAAAGGAATTATAGGAATTTTGTTCGTATTTAGCAAAATAACTACAATGTTCTCGAAAACATGAACTTTAATCGATTTTTAAAATAATGTTTACATCAGTTAATAGAAAATAATGTAGATAAGTAACATTTATAATTTATGTCTTTATGTAGAACAACTGATATTTCAACTCGTTTCGTTTCAATAGAAAACACGGAATAATGAAACAGCAAGCTTTTATCTTGGAAATATAAGCATTTGAGCTTATATTTCCCATATTTTTACTTTTTTTAAAATTGCTTATTGTCATTGTTAACACTTTGTGATTTATCGTTTATGGTCAATTGTGATAGTTGAGTAATAGTAAATACCAATCAAACTTGAAAATAGGCCGAGTTTGGTGCGTGCAAACATTTGTTTCGAGGCAAAGCTTGCATTTCATGTGTGTACATACAAGGTTTTTTGATTGTCCTGTTTTTATTAAAATTAGTTTCAACGCAGGCAAATCGGTCATTGTTAAAATAATGGAATAATCTTTATAAATCCGCGTTGCAAAACAAGGGAAATAATTTTAGTCTGGCTTTTGTTTGCGATAAGTGTGGTGGATTAGAATAGTATCGTTTTGTTGCACAATGTTCATTAGTTCAGCCGGAATAAAAAATCAGTATATGTTGGGGCTTGCAATGAGATTGCCTCCGGCGTATGCGAGACAGGGCACTTTCAGAATGGGCACTGGTCCAATCCTAACTTCGGAACAGACTTGGGCATTGTCTTTATCTATATGTATGCGATTGAAAGCCCAACATGCCGGAGGAAAAACGGGCGCACAGATCGGAAAATTTCCCGAGTCTACAACAATTTAACACTGATCGATTTTCGAAACTGAAAATGGACATACTTATTTTGGTCTTATAAACGGATTCTCCGTTTGCCAGAAAATTCAAATCCAGTTCGAAATTATGCGGGTCGTAGATCGCCTCCAAACAAGCTAAGAAATCACAATAAAGCTCTCATTTGCGCAAAAATTATTTTACCATTGTTCTGAATCGCGGGGATTGAGCCACAACAAATGCAAGTCAGGCCTGAACACTGACACGATTCTGCAATTGTAGCACTTTTAGTATCTGAAAAATAAATAGATAATTTTTTTTTAAAGTTAGATTCGAAAAATCTTTACAATAAATTAATGACAGGATTAGGCCACTCAAAACTAACATGTTGAACAGTGAATTGAATAAGAGGATAATTTAATTTGGTCAATCGCAAATGAATAATAGAGTAATAATAAAAATGTTACTAGGAAATTTATAATTGCTATTATTTTCATTAAGTGGAAAGTCATGCAATGCAATAATACGACATCGCATGTTATTAACAATTTAATCTGAATTGGGATTATATTAAAACCATATAAAGCATAACACATATTTCCTCTCACTAACTATATCGTCGACACAATACACATATGAAATATTTCACTTCATGTGTAAGTAACAATTTATTGAATTAAGAACAGTTTTTATTTGCGTTGCATTTCACAAACAAAACGAAAATCGGCTATATGTAAATCATTGACATCTCTCCCATCAATGCAAATCCAACAAGACAGATCGAAGGAAAAATTGTGATAGGGGCATTTTGATAACAAGGAATTGATGCTTGTCAACGAAAATATTCACCCTAATGGTTGGAAGACTAAAGAATGGAACGCTTTTTTTTGTATTTTTAATTAAAAAAAAGAGAAAAAAATCTGTGGTGAGTTTTTTGGATCGTAACGGAGGTTGCGATTAAAATGGGGTGTCAAATTGTTGATTAATGGGCTGAATATTGGACACGTCGATGGCAAATGTCTCGGTTTAATTTAGGAAGTTGATTTTCGTAGGTAAATCAAGATAAAGAAATAATGGAGGCATTCTGTGGATCGTCCTATAATTACTACAGTGTCAAGCTCTAGGGTTTGTCAGTGTGACAAGGGAGGTCTTATCTACGTTATCAACAGCGGTGTGGTGAATTAATTAAAGGAACTTGTGACACCATTAGTCACTTAACGTTACCCTGGACTGTCTACAAATAGATAGACTAGCTGATTTACAGTTGTACATGTGGGGTAACAGTTCAGCCCTACAATGTTCTCGCACCTTTACACCACCTTTACATCGAAATTTTCACTTTGATGAAAATTTATCAAACCGGAAAAAGGGTTGACAACTACAGAACCAACTCAAACATTCAAAACCCAGACACATTCACGTTTCACTTTTTGTCACCCATAAAACAAAGTCACAGCCAACAAGTGAAATAACATTAGCCCTTTCAAACCACATTAAACATACAAATTTGGAGCTTTTTTCACCCTTGGATTTGTTTAAGATTTGCATTTGCAAAACAACAACTAATACTGTGATTTATTTTCTCCTCGATTGGAAACGAAAGTCGATTTAAACCTTTCATCAAATCGATAATTAATGACCGAAAAAGGTTGGTGCAAGAACCTTGGAGAGGCCCCTGCTGGGCCCTCGGACAAGTCCACTGATATACGGTCATAATTAATAATCCCACTGTGTGCTAGAAAAATTTCAGCATTTCCGGATTTTTGCATAGTGGGAATTTCTCTCGTATCTTAATTAGGAATGTTAAGTCGCTTATAACATCCAATTATGAAAAGTTAAATGTGAGAGCAGTTGTAAAATAGCTTGCGAGAGAAAGACTGTGTGGGCTGAAAAGGCGCCATGCGGAGTCGAACAGGTGATAATAGCTGACCGATCTATGTCCGTAATATAATCGTTCATTCGGTGACATTTTAACAAATATCTTACCGGTTTAAAAATAAATTTGTTCGTAGTAGTCAGCAATGCAATTATGACTTTTAAATTTGCATTCTCAAAATAAATTTCAATTGGATGGTTAATTGTTGGTTAAATGTTTCCACAGTCTCGAATGAAGCAATTTTGATTGCATTCGCTATTTAGGCAATCTGTCGTTAAATAACTCGTTTATAACAACGCAAAACTTCAATATTATTTTTACTTGTTTCACTATAATTCAATCGGCAAACATTTTGTCAAAACATTTGTCTATCGCGTTGTGACAACAACAAAATGAGCACGTTTTGCTATACTAATTATTAACATTATTCGTGATTTAATGAAACTTCTCTCATTTTTTTCTTTCCTAATTAGGTCAATTTACTTAACGTTGCTTCTGATTGTGCAAATGCAGTTGAGAAATGTTATTCGGTTTGAGAATACAAGTAAACGAAATTATAGAATTTTGTGTTTGTGTTAGCTGCATATACCTGGAACGTCTTCTCTCCGCATTATCATTATTTTTAGGCAAAAAGCTTTTAATGTACTTTGCAGTTGGTTTTAAACAAACACTAAGACAAACATGAGAAGGTTTTGTCATCACTACTTAGACATGTGTCTTCACAGTTTTGTTTCAAAATCAAATATCTCTAGAAAAGGAATGAGAAGACACAGTGGAACAGTGCTTTTCCATCGTGTTGAAAAAAATCTTACTCTATTTTTCTCTTTGCAAACAAAGAACTAGGTAGAAACGAAAAGTTGCTATATAAAATGATTACCTTCCTTGCTATTTCGTATTCTCGGTGATCAACTTTGTAGATATTTAATCACCCACTCTTCTTTTGGCCTTTATCTCCATTAAATGCATTTAGACACTTCAATTATTTGAAACGGCTGAAACAAAGAGGAATTAATAGACAATCGATACAAAGTGATTCGACGTTTTTAATAACAGAGTAACGACTTATATTACAGTGAAAATTTTTAACAAACCAGAAAACTGTCGTCGATTCTTTTTAACGGTCCAACGGTTTTTTAAAGAGATCGTCCTTTAAGTGAACCCTTTTAGAAGACGTCGAATTTCGTGTATCCAATAAACGTTTACTGTAATTGGTCAAAGAGATAATCATTGGAATAGAGGAAGAATCTTGAATAAGCAGGTTTGGTGTATAACGCAAATTATTCTTCTGATGTATCGACAAAATTTTTAATAAAAATGGGGGATTTAGCCTGCAGTATTCCTATTGTTGTTTTATTTAGCTGAATGATTAATTATTGATTTTAATCAACAAATTTGTTACTGAATGAAGTGTTGATTTAACGTTCACTAGTGGAAGTAATCTAAATAGCATCAGTACAAAACAAACTTGCGTTTTGTTATTATCGTTATATGGAGATAAAATCAAAATGTTTTCATAAGTTGTATAAATAATGCAACGATTTTATACGATTTTTTGACAGAAATGTGAAAGTAATTTTCCTTGTGAAAGTTTGAGTCCAGTTTGTCTGGACATTCGGTTCCGTTATGAATATTATAGCAAGTTTCTTGTTGTTCTCGTTGATGTGGTTTTAGTTTTTGGCTCCGAAATGGTAATATTTTGATCGTTTGTGAACTTGCAGTCGAATGTTTGTAGAGTTATTGGTACTTGATTCTATACTGAGCTAATATAACATAATGTGTGTACAGTATGAAATTGATACGTGATCAATAATATTTCCTTTGGGGTACCAGAATCGAGTAAGACACGGCTTCTGATACGGGACTGTTTACTTAGGATAATTTAAGTACATGAATAAATAAATGTGAATTAAAAACAGCATTTGTTTGTATATCACTGTTCACGTGTCAGAAAGGCTTTAGTTTTTCGATCGAGCGAACCACACTCCGCTATCCTGCCAATAAGTAATAAAATATGCACTTCTGACTCCTACGTGTTCCTGTCTTTGTTTAGAAGTTCTTTGTCATGGCGCCCGCCATATCCACATGTGATTTGTTGGTTTCGTATCGACGCTTCCATAGCACCAATTTTATCAGGTGATGGTAAAAGGGTAGTTTGCATTGTAAATAAACGATATGACCAATCAATTTAGTCCAAGGGTTGATCGCGGATCCATTTCAATTGGGATATTATTGCTTCACCTAAGGCTTTACTACAACTGAGACGACAGGGGAAATGCTCGACTACACACGTCGTACGAATGTCGACTCAGGGACGGCTCCAACTTCACAGAATCACCGCAACACTCACCTTTTTATATCACAATAACAATGCAAATCGAAATTATTACCTGCGCCAGCAAAAACAAAAAACTGATCAAAATATCGCTTCCACTTTTGAATATTGCAGCTAGAGGTGGCTCAACAGTGATGGTGTTTCACCACTCTGGATTTGTCTGTTGCTTCATGAGGTCGTTATTTCGGACTTACCGCCCACGTTATGATCAAAATTCTGAAATATTTCCCGTGCAAAATGCCTCGTTTGTGTATATCCGTTGTATGCTGCACTTTCTTGGAGCCGCCGACACGGCTTCTCCCTGCTCCTCGATGATTTGTACAGTGTGGGCAGGATGGAAAGTAGTACATTATGAAGTAAGTAAATTACACATAAAAATAGTCATGGGAATCATGTCGGGATCAACAAAGTGGCAGTAATTTGGTCATTGTGATTGAAATTTGAATTGTAGTAAATTGTATTGATAGTACTTGTTAGCGGTAATACTTTACAACGGTTGGATAGAGCTTTCGCATGTATTGGAATACAAGTAATAGCCGCTTTTTCGCTGTCAATTACATTGTTCGTTTACGGCCACAGTTGTGAGGACATAATAACAGGTTGCACACACTGCCTATTACCGATGATTGATTCAACACAAAAGGAATCCCACTCGTTCTAATATTTAAGACGTCTGTAGTTGCCATTCGTGAAGCTGTCGGCTGTTATTAATTACAGGAGTGGTTCGGAAGACCACTGATTTCGTGCACCCACTTGATCGGTTATTGTAACTCAAGTCATACACAATTCAATATTGTGGCAATTCTCTTACTAACGAGACCTGACGATTACAAAGCCTGAATTTATGATTGTGTGACATAACACATTTGTAAAGTTCTAATATAATTTATGAATCAAGTTCATGAATCTAATGCTGGCGGCGTAATTCATTTCTATAAAGCGAATAAATAACCACCGTTTTGAACCCGTTCTATTGTCACAATCAACCACAAATACAACATCACTGACCAAAGACACGCCCACTTCAACCACCAACTTCTACTCTCTCGATTATTCCCGAAGAGATTTTTTTTTCTATTACTATTGTACTCTTTTGAAACCTTGGGATAATACATGATACGCCTTGCATCAGAAATCATCTTAATTGCGTCGAACTAATGTTTATAGGCATTTAACTTA